GACCTCCCCGGGCTCCTCCAGACGCGAGCCGTCCTGCCGATCGGCGCCTCGGGTTCCGCGAGCGGGACCCTTGCCTCGCCTCTTGAGCCTCACACATCACATGGCAGCCGGCGTGAGGGAGGTTGCTGCCCTGGCCTCGCAGATGCGTACACTGAGGCCCAGTGGAGTTAGATGCCCAGAGTCACCTGTCAGAGGGACAGGGATTCGGGTCTGCACGCCGGGCTCCCCGCACACACCCGAGCAGCTGTTGCCGGCCCAGCCTGGCCTCTCCGGGCGGGTGTCCGAGAGCTGGGAGGAGGCATGCTTGCTCATGATATAAGGTGCCCCCTCCTCAGGGACCAGCAGGCGGGTGAGGGGAGGGTGCACAGGGGGCCCCGCCGCGGAGCCATGCCCACCGCACGCTAGACACCCGCCAAGTCTTACTCTCCGTGGCGCCCGTTCCCCCAAAGTCTCCCAGAGGCGTGGAGAACGCTTGCCACTTGTTGATTAGGGAGTTGTCACATCTGAACCCGGAGGAGCTGGGGTAGAACCAAGATGTGCAAATCCTGACCTCCCAGACTCCTAATCTCTCACCAAAGGAGCCAGCCCTCTGCCCCCCAGCCCTCCACTAGCTCCCGCATCCTCCGACTTAGTAGCAGACGCCTCATCTCTGCGGGAAGGCTCAGGAGCCCGCTGTGGTGGCTGCAAGGAGCAGCGGGAAGGCTCCCTGGCCTGCTCCCTCAGCAGGACAGCAGGGAGGAGCTTTGCGGCAGCTCCTCCCTGGAGGTGAATCAGGTGCCAGGTGGGAGAAGGGACCCCTGTTCCCGTGGGGTCCTCCTGACCCGAGGGTGGCCCCTCTTTCTCTGCCTGTCACCACCTCAGCTCCCATCCAGACGACCAGCACCCTTTATGAGCGGGGCTTTGAGAAAATCATGAAGAAGCAGAATAAGGAGCAGGTTCCACCCCCCGCTGTGGAGCCTAAGAAACCCTCCAACAAAAAGCAGACTAAGAAGGTGGCGACCCTCACCAACCAGAACCAGAAGCAGGGCCGCTTCCGCAGCCTGGAGGAGGCACTGAGAGCTGTGAGTGCGCCTCGCCTTTGGGTGGGGAGAGAAGGAGGACCTGAGTGTGGAGGAGATGAAAAGGGGGGAGGAGGACGGGCAGCTGATAGCTGATGGGACGCTGTTGGCCGAGAGGAGGCATTCGGGGAAGGACGGAAACCCCATCAATTAAAGTAGGTGTGGTAGGCGGAATAATGCCTCCCCCAAAGATGCCCACATCATTCCCAGAACCTGCCAATGTGTTAGGTTGCATAGCAAAGGGGACTTAGGTTGTAGATAGAATTACTGCTCTCAGGATAAGAAGGACATGAGAAGCTCGGAGGGAAACATGGATTAGTGAGAAGGGAGCCTGGACGCCCAGAGACGCGAGGGAAGGTTAGAGAAACTGTTTTTGTTTCCTCGCCCCTGGGAGCTTCTTGCCTTTTGTTTTTTCCCCTTGAACATGTGAAGGGCCTGCGAGTACTGGTCCTGGGGGTCAGCGGTTCCAGTTTTCCTAAACTCTCTAAAGATCTGGATGCAGCAGAATTGTGGCACTCCACATCCTTATGTTGAAAAGCAGAAACCCTTTGTTCCTCCTCCCGCAACTGACCATGTGGGGCCTGTGTCCCTGGCAGCTGGACGTGGCAGCTCTGCAGAAGGAACTGGACAAGAGCCAGAGCGTGTTCTCTGGGAACCCGTCCGTGTGGCTGAAGGACCTGGCCAGCTATCTCAACTACAAGCTCCAAGCCCCTCTCAGTGAGCCCACGCTAAGCCAGCACACTCACGGTTAGTTCTCTCGGCTCCCTCAAGCTCAGACAAGTTCGAGAAAATTCTGAAATGGCTGTGCGTAAGCCCATTGCTTAGTAACAGACCCCAGTGCTCCCCACCGCCCCGATTTCCATGGGCGGAGCTGTTCTCAAACCATCGTGGTGTGAACGTGTCTGGGCCTTATTGGGGTAGGGAGGGTGCCAGCCTCCGTGTGGACCTCGGCTCCACTCACCGGCCTCGGAGCACAGCTGGCAGAGGCTTCTGGTCCCAGCGCTCACGTGGAGGCCTATTGCCCAGATTACCCCTATAGCCTGGTGAGCCGCGAGCTGCGTGGGATCATCCGAGGGCTGCTGGCAAAGGCGGCGGGGTCCCTGGAACTCTTTTTTGACCACTGTCTGTTCACCATGCTGCAAGAGCTGGACAAGACACCAGGTGAGGGGCCGTGAGGGGGAGCCAGCCCCATCTTGGGGGCCTGTTTCCTTTTTTCTTGCTTCAAAAATGGCTGGGTTGTTTCCAGTAGAGAAACATGCTAATCCTGACACTTGGGGAAAGGGAGGAGGAAGTTAGGACTTGTTGGCCTGAGCTCTGGGCTTACAGCTGCCAGTAGGGAGATTTCAGGTGTTGGATGTCTGTTCCTATGTGTGGGTCTAAGAGCATGTGTCTCTCCAGGGGAGTCGCTCCATGGCTACCGTATCTGTATCCAGGCCATTCTGCAAGACAAGCCCAAGATCGCCACCACGAACCTGGGCAAGGTGAGCTCAGGACGGTGGTAGGAACACCAGGAGGCTAGGACTGGGGCGGTCGGGCAGAATCTACCCTGTTGGATCCAGTCAAGGGCTAGCAGAAGACCCTGTAAGACCAGTCATGATAGCTGACACTATTAGCACTTACTGTGTGTCTGACATATACACACACACACACACACACACACACACACACACACACGAGGCAAGTACTGCTGTTATTCTCCTTTTATAGGTGAGAAATTGAGCCACAGAGCGGGTCAGTAACTTGCCTAGAGTCAGTCAACCAGTAAGTGGCAAGCATGGGTGAAGGCCACAGTCCGGTGCCAGAGCCCACGCTCTGAGTCACTGCACCACACTACCACGGTGCCCCACTGGCCCCGTTGGCAGCTCTTCCTGCCTCGTTTTGGGGGTGCTTCGGATGCTTTGCCCCACCCCAGCCTGCCTCTCTTACTTGGCTCCTCAGTTCTTGGAACTGCTGAGGTCCCACCAGAATCGACCAGCAAAGTGTCTAACCATCATGTGGGCCCTGGGCCAAGCAGGTTTTGCCAACCTCACCGAGGGACTGAAAGGTAACAAGGCAGTGGGGAAGGGGGGTGGTCCTGGAGCCAGGATACTTCTCTGTAATGTCCCAGTGGGTCTGAGCCTGAGGCTTCCTCCCTGACCTTTGTCTCCACAGTCTGGCTGGGGATCATGCTGCCTGTACTGGGCATTAAATCCTTGTCCCCCTTCGCCATCGCATACCTGGATAGGCTGCTCCTGTGAGTAAAGGGGAGATGGGAGGGGGAGGGCCCAGGAGTCTCCAAGTGGCTATTTTAGTAAAATGAGATGCTGGGATCCTGGTCTCCATAGAGACCAGGACCAGCTCCTCCCAGCTCAGAATGTGATGGTGAAGAAGGAAGGGGAGGGAACCATTAAGGGGTGAGGTGTGGGGTAGAGTCTGTGCCCTTTTTCCTAGCTGTTGGTCTTCGCTGGGATCACAGCCTAGGTGGTGGTCCCCAACAAGCCTTTCTTCCCCCCACAGGATGCACCCCAACCTCACCAAAGGCTTTGGAATGATTGGCCCCAAGGACCTCTTCCCACTTTTGGACTTTGCCTATATGCCCAACAACTCCCTGACACCCAGGTAGGGCCACCCTGGGACATAACTGCTGTGAAGGATCCCAGCAGGGGGCCAGAAGCAGGCAATATATTCCTGTCCCTTCTTCAGCCACCCTAAATCTAAGATTCTCAACCTGCAAGTTCAAGGGATCAGTAAACGCCCTGAAATTTTATGGACCCTTGAGTGTGATTGGCATGTGGGCATTTTCCTGGGGAGAGGATCTGTGACTTGCAGCAGATTTTCCAAGGAGTCTCTAAATCTAAAAAAGATTCAGAGCCATTACAAGGTTCTGAGACTCCCATCCTTGGGTAGGGTGTGGACTCTGGGGCAGGCAAAAGGGACACAATGCACAGCTCCCTTTAGAGCCTGTGCCTGGCTCTCCTCCCCACCCCCATCCCAGCCTGCAGGAGCAGCTGTGTCAGCTCTACCCCCGATTGAAGGTGCTGGCATTTGGGGCCAAGCCGGAAGCCACCCTGCATACCTACTTCCCCTCCTTCCTGTCCAGAGCCACCCCTGACTGCCCTCCTAAGATGAGGAAAGAGGTGAGGAAATGGTGGGAGGCTGCTTTTTCCCTTCCAGGGGTCAGCTGCAGGGGTCCCTGTCTGCAGACCAAGGCCCTTCTTCACAGACCCGTTTCCTGAATGTCCCTTAGCTCACTCCTGACAGCCTCCTGCCCCACTCTGTCATGTTCTACCCTCAGAACAGAGCTGGAAGGGCAGCACGTTCAGGTCTGGCTGGTCTCTGAAGTCTTCCCCCTCGCAGATGAGTGACCTTTGAGGTCAAGGTCTAGCTCAGGACCCCAGCCTCCCCCTTTACAGCCTCTGAGATTTCTGGGGTCTGGCACGATTTGTCCACCCTTTAGGGTGGATGTGTTGCCTGCATGGTCTCACTTAGGGAAGGGGATTACTTCTCAGCTCTCTCCCCCCGACCAGCCCCATGGCCCAGCGGTCTCTCTCCCTCTCTCCTGTCTCCTGTGCAGCTCCTGAGCAGCCTGACTGAATGCCTGACGGTGGACCCCCTCAGTGCCAGTGTCTGGAGGCAGCTATACCCCAAGCACCTGTCACAATCCAGGCAGGTGGGGGGGGGGGTGTCACCTATCTCTCACCCACACAGGAGAGCCTTAGTTCGTGCCTCCCAGCCTGTCCCTGTCCTAGAAGCAGAAGGGGAACATTTGTTACTGTTGTTGGGGCTCATGCCTCCAAGTTGAGTGGGAACATTGCATGTGGCTCTTGGGAAGCAGTTCCTGTGCTGGTGGGGGTGCAGTCTTCAGCCAGAGGCAGCCAGGGGCCTAATGGAGGATGGGAAGGGCCAAGTGGGCCCCCTGATTGGAAGGGGATGTGTTTTCCCCACAGCCTGCTGCTGGAGCATTTGCTCAGGTCCTGGGAGCGGATTCCCAAGAAGGTGAGGAGCTGGAAGGACATGGCAGGCTGAGCCTCGTCTGGGTTCTGGGTTCGTACCCCCAGCCACTGTCCCCCTTCCCTGAGAAGGCGTTCTGCTAGTACATTTGGCCTGGAAAATGAAGCATGGTGGAGGGTTCCCTCACGGGCCAAAGCTTATGCTCTCAACCCAGATGTTTCTTATCCTATAGGCACAGAAGTCTTTGCAAGAAACCATTGAATCCTTCAAGCTTACCAACCAGGAGCTGCTAAGGAAAGGCAGCTGCAATAACCAGGATGTCGTCACCTGTGACAAAGCCTGCAAGGTGTCAGCACCCGGTCCTCCCCAACCCACACACTGTTCTGCATCTGTCTCGGCACACCCTGGTTGGGCCTGTACCACATTCCTGCCCCACCCGTCCCTGGAGCCCCCACTGCCTCGGGTATGGGGAGGGCTTGGCCCTCTCCCTGGAAGGTCTGGCTTGAGGTCTGCCTTAGGAGGCAAGACCAGCCCCATCTCCCTTCTGACCACAGCTCCTACCCCCTTTCCTCCTAGGGGCTGCTGCAGCAGGCTCGGGGGTTCCGGCTGCCCTGGACACGGCTACTCCTGTTGGTGCTGATCTTTGCCATAGGTGTCCTGTGCCACGACTTCCGGTCACACAGCTCCTTCCAGGGTAAGCAGGGATTGGCGGGCAAGGCAGGTAGCATGGGGTGGGGCATAGAGCTAGCTGTAGCACCCCTGTCCCAGCTCACAGCTCTGCGCTGATGCTGCAAAACAAACACTTTCAGACAGATGGTTGTGTCCACAACTGTGACCTTTCCACTTCAGATTGGGCCAGTGCTTTGCAGAGTAGAAGGGCTTGCGTGTTCATGGTCTCCTTTAAGTAGGTGTTATCTCCTTTTTGATTTTTGAGTAAATTGAGGCTCAGAAAGATTTATCAGTTACTGTAAGATCACAGCTGGTCAGTGGAAGCCCTGTGAACACACGAAGGTCGACCCCATCCCTCACTGGGCCTGCTCGGAGCCTGTAGTGTCTGCCCACTCCCTGCCCCCCACCTCCCAGCTCACAGAGACCCCCTTTACTCAGACTCCTTTTCTGGCCGGTTGCTTCAATCATCTGGTTTCTTGCCTGCTGGCCAAAAAGCATGTGCCAAGATCTACTCCTACAGCCTGCAAGGCTACAGGTGAGCAACTCGCAGGGAGGGGGGAGATGGATGGATGCTCAGGGTGGTGATGGCATTGACAGTCAGTGGGAAGCAAGGGTGGTTTTCCTTCCCAAGGCCTCCCTCCCGAGCTCTGGGGAGCCGAGCTGCCTGAGGAAACTCGGCCCTCCTCTCTCCTGTCATTGCAGCTGGCTAGAGGACACGCTGCCGGCCTGGGGCTCTCACCTGCTGACTGTGGTGAGGCCCAGCGTGCAGCTCGCCTGGACCCACGTCAATGCCACAGTCAGCTTCCTTTCTGCCCACGGTGCCTCCCACCTTGTCTGTTTCGGTGACAGCCTCGCCAGCCTCTCCCAGAGGGTAAGCCAGAGACGGGCTGGTCTCCCCAGCAGCTGAGTTCTTGGGAAGGTGCCGCCCCACATGGACTGGGTCCTCGGGGCCAGGATGCATTCCGGGAGCACCCTAACCCCATTCATTCTCCGTGCTCCAAATCCAGCTCCCTGATGTCCTGATCCAGCTGCTCCATTCTCTGAGGGAGCTGCTCCTGCTGCTATACCACAGCGTGCTGTTGCCAGTGTGGCACCTGCTGCTTGAGGCCCTGGCCCAGGCCCAGCAGCACTGCCACCAGGTGTGCAGGTGAGACCCTCAGCCAGGGCCCCAGCAGGAGCCCCAGTGGCCCCCACGCCCTTTTTCCAGGGACAAGGCTTCTCTGTTCAGGCTCTCTGCCCTGCCCCTTGCTCATCCCTTGGCCACTGGTAGGTGGTTGTGGGCCTGAGTTGCAGCCTCGTGGCTTGACACAACTGCACACCACTACTTCCCAAGCCCCACGGATGTTCTGCTTTCCTCCCAGAGGTCCGGTGACCTGGGACTGCGTGAAGACACAGCTCAGTGAGGCTGCCCACTGGACCTGGCTCTGCCTACAGGACACCACAGTGGCTTTCTTGGACTGGGCGCTCGCCATGATATCCCAGCAATAGGCCCTGCCTCCTTGGCCACTAGTCTCTGTCTGAGACGGGCCACCTGAGACTGCTGGAGGCAGTTCTGCATGGGGTCTTTTTTACTTGGTGCCTGAGTTCTGTACTCTAGGCCAGTTGTCTCTTCCCCAGTTTTTGGTGATGACTGAGCCCAGGGGTATCTCAGCCTCCTCCACGATTCCACTGAACACTTCTCTGGCCCTATCGCACATAGCTCCCAGCATCTGCCCTGGGCTGGTAGCCTCTCTAGCCTCCTCTCTCATCTCCTGCCTTCCATCTCACTCCCGAAGCCCCAAACACCTCATCCCCAAAGGTGGGTCTCCAGTGAGTGGCTTCTGCATTCTTCGATGAATGATTTCTGCTCCCGCACTTCAACCACAGCAGGAAAAGGAAAGGGACTTCCAGGAGACTATGGCACCACAGTGGGGAGAGCAGCTTCACTTCTACCCACAGCCTGCACCTCAAAATGCCCAGCGTAGGTCCTTCCAGGCCCCTCTCTGCCCCCTCCATCGCGATCCGTTCTCCTCACCACTCCCCTTCCGTGCTGGGGGTGTGGAGGGCCTCCGCCTCCAAGTCCAGCTTCTCGCTGTCGCCTGCCCCTCCATCTGTCGGGGGAGCAGAGTCCAGTTAGTTGTGTGCCTCGGCACGGGGAACCTTCCAGCAGCCGGTTGAGACAGGCTTCAGTATATGGCTCCTGGATATGCCTACAGGTGGAATAAAGGACACAGCTTTGATTTCTAGCTTTCCTCTCTGCCTCGTCTTACAGGAATTCCCATAGCTGTGGACAGGATAAATACAGGCGCCTGCACATTCCCCGGGGCCCCCTGCCCGCCTAAGGGCCGTAGCTCCTGCGGTAATTGCACTTCTGGTTAAGGAAGCCCACACCCATCCCAAACTTGGGTCTGTGGAGGGTTCTGGACCTCTTCCTGCGCCCCTTGTCTCACTGTCACTGTGATTCATGTCCCACTTGTGATTTGCCTTGACGGCTGGTGTGATGTATGCGTGGAAATGCAGGGAAGAGTCTCCTGGGGGAATTCTTGGCCAGCAATCGGGTGTCTTCCTTGCCAGGACCTTATTAATCGGTTTGTTTTCTAAGGCAGCGAGTGAAAGATTTAGAACTCTAAGAGGCAGGATCAAGGGTTTATCACCAGAGTCTCTTAATTTTTGACTTGAGACTATCATAACTGCGCGGGTTTTCGTTCTCACCAGGTTTTAGTTCTCACCTCGAGTTTCTTGGATGTTTCTAAACCAGCAGTACCAGAGGTGCACTGCCCACTCACATTTTTGTTCCCTTGTTAGAATGTTACCTCTTGGGAGTTAAATAGCCCACGTTGGGCAGAACCCAGCTCTCCTAGTGGCAGATAGCCATGACCATTTTTTCACAGAAATTGGAAACCCTGCCTGGCAAAGAGCAGTGGTCTAGGACTGCTGGACTGGACTGCCTAAGGGTCCCAAAACGTGTCCTATTTCCTCAATTCTTCCTCACCAATCAGAAAAAAATGGGTTCAATTCTTAGGAACAGTGACGCTTTGGAACTGGCCTGTATTCATGGCAAGTAGAAGGGGCTGGTATGATCCTACACTGGCAACAGCAAAGGACAAAGTGATGACACTATCCTGCAATGTCCTCGAGTCCAGCCAAGGCTGCTGGGCTGAGTTCTTGCAATCCAGCAACTGCAAGGATGCTACTTACAAGTGCTTCACTGGCTTCTAATGTGTGTACTACACTGGGTTCCTTTCATTTCTGACATAATCTTGGGGTGCAACATTTCCCTTCAACACTAACACCTGAATTGGCTTTGATAGATGTAGTTGGTTGACCCAATATTGGAATTGCCAAAAATTTTTCCTGTGTCAAGGGTGTAGGCCAGCGTTTCACCTGCTGGCCAGTAATGCTAAACCAGATATCCAGATGTTTCATTTTTGCAGAACTGTCAACAAACTAATCCAAACAGCCAGTGAGTTGAACCAGTGTGGACTAGTGGAGCGAGCACACTGGTGCTGACAGGTGGGCAGGGACTGTTGGTGTTATTAGAACAGAGTCTGACATCTCAGAGGGTCACATCTGGACATGGTAACTACTTTTCACACACAGCTGGAGTTCTATAGATAATATGCCATAAAGCTGAAGGGCAGTTTAAATATGGTTATCTCTTACTAACTTCAGTTATTAACAAATGGTGTTGAACTGCAAATTAGATCAAAAGACTCATTTGAAACACGTTTTTCTAAGCTTAAACTGTTTCCACATTCCTCTGGTGATTTGTACCCAGTCTACAGCTTTAGAGCAGGCCAACTTGATGGACCAGCCCGACTTACTGTGGATAGATGATCTTGCCAGGCAGATAACGCTGGTCTCACACCTGCTGGCCTATTCTCAAATGCCCCCACCCTTGAGGGAAGTGTTGCCCACAGAGAGGACGTGCCTTGCCTGCCCTAGTCCAGAATGACCCAGTTGTCAGTACACTGAAATTTCAGTGGTTGGATGACCTCAGCATTTTAATGCTGCCTTATCTCCTAAATGAGTTTGAATTTAAGTGAACACTTCAAGTGATCTAACTTTTTTAAAATTTTTCTTCATGGTTCTGCTCCCAAAAGCGCTTGAGGGGATAAAGGACTTTGCTTTTCCCCATGTGATATTCCATTTTACTGGGTATTTTTCATTGCCCCACACTTGAGGTAGAAGAAATTTGAGGGGACGGGAGCTTCCATTGTTCAGGGTATGAGTGAATATTTATTGAATATTGGATATTCTGCCTATGAATAAAATAACTGAATTCAGACACATTTTTGGATATGCCTTGGTGTAATTTTTTTACTGTGTTAGCATACCAGTTATCAAATTTTTAATGGACTTTATTTTTAGAGCAGTTTTACATTCACATTAAAGTTGAGCCAAAAAAGACATAGCCCTTGCCCGTACACTTGCACAGCCTCTCCCACTGTCAACGCCAGTGAACCTCCGACACATCACTGTCATCCAAAGTTTGTAGTTTACATTCATCGTACTTTGTATTATTTCAATCTTTTTAAATTTGTTGAGACTTGCCTAAGGCGAGCTATCCTGGAGAATGTTCCTGTGTGCTTGAGAAGAATGTGTTCTGATGCTGTTGGGTGGAATGTCCTTGTCTGTCAGGTCGAGTTGCTGTGTTGATCAAGGCCTCCATTTCCTTATTGAGCATATCATACACACATCCTAATGTAAAGAACACAAATCAAGAAAGCGCTAAACACAATAAAAATACGGACAAAAGACAATTCATAAAATAAATGCAAATGAACCATAGACTTGAAAAAAGTCATTTCATTGGTTAAAAAGTGCAGATTTAAAATATCACTTTACTTTTGTATATAACATTGATGAATTTTTTTTTTTTTACGATAATATACTCAGTAAATGCTATGGTAGAAAGTGGTATAATGTTTCTGGGAAGTAATTTGATACTATTTATCAAAAGGTTTAAAACTTTCATACTGTTTTACCAAGTAATTACACTCCTAAAAATATATTCTGGCTTTTTGCATAATTCTGAAAGAATTATTTATCAAAATCATGTGAGGCTCCAAACTGTAAAAATAATAAAAGATTAACAAGTATATACATTCTTGAGAATAAAAAAGTAAGCCGAAACATGGACAAAGATTTATATTTCAGAACATTTATTGTAGCAGTATTAATAAAAATTTGGATATAAACTGTGTCTGGCAATAAGATGAATATTTAAATAAATTGTGGTAAAACCAAAGGGCTTCTCAAATTATTCCAAAGAATCTATAATGTTTATAATTAATTGAGCTTAATTTATTGAAATATTGCCTATAATAAAAAACACAGAAAACAAGTGCTGACAAGGATGTGGAGAAATTGAAACCCTCCTACATTGCTGGTGGGAATGTAAAGTAGTTCAGACACTATGGGAACAGTCTGACAATTCTTCAAAGAGTTAAACATATAGTTACCATAAAACCCAGAATTCCACTCTTGGGTACATAACCAAGAGAAATGAAAGCATATATTCACACAAATTTCTTCATGAATGTTTATAAAACCATTATTCATAAAAGCCAAAAAGTGGAAATAGTCCATCAAAACAGGAATGGAAAACAAAAACACAACAGATGAACGGATAAACAAAGTGGTATATCCATACAAGGGAATAGTGTTCACCATAAAAAGGGAGCAAGTACTAATACCGGCTACTACCTGGATGAGTCTCAAAAACATTATAAGTGAAAGAAATGAGACACAAAAAGTCCCATGTTCTGTGATATTTTCCCCCATGAAATCTCCAGAATGGGCAAGTCCATACAGTCAGAAAGCAGATTCGTGGTTGCCAGGGGATGGTGGTTGGGAGTAATTGCTTAAAAGGGTAGGAGGTGTTCTTCCCAGCCTGGTGATTAAACAAAAAGTTTTGAAACTAGCGAGAGGCGGTAATTTGCACAACATTGTGAATGCATTAAATGCCGCTGAAGTGTTCATACTTTAAAGTTATTTATTGTGTTATGTGACTTTCGCCCCCCTCCCCCAAATAAATAACAACATAAATACGTTCTGCTTCCCAGTCTTCCCTCCCCGCCCCTCGCCCCCAAAGAGAGTGCTAAACACCCCAAGCTAACGCTCGGAGACACAATGGTACCATTTGCAGCAACAGAGCAGTTAAAATCAAGATGTTACCATCCTGCTTTGTGGGTGGGAGCAAAGCGGAGTTGTGCTCAGCGACATCAGACCTCGGATTTAAAAGCACAGCTCCCAAGAACCCAAAAAATGTCGGAGCGGTGCGGGGCTTGAAATCATCACCAGGTTGCACAGGCAGCTGGCCACAGAGCTGGAAATGGAGGTCAGGTCTTCCCGCACACCCACCCCATCTGACGACCAAGCAAGGATTCACACAAGAGTTGGGTTTTCGTTTTCAGGCTTCCTTGTTTTTAAACCCCCGGAGCTCCTGGTGGGCAAAGGATTGTGGGCTGGCTTTGCAGCCCGGGAAAGAGTGAAGGTGTGAGCCGGGGGTAGGGGCGGGGCCGGTGGCCGTGCCCAGGGCCCCTCTGGGCCCCGCCCGCCAGGCCCACCTCGCGGGGTTTCGGGGCAGCTGGATCCCGCGCCGCCCTGCAAACCTCGAGCAGCTCTGCGGTTTGTATCTTTCTTGCCCTAGTCGGGACGAATAGCCGACAAAACGTTGGTTAATGGACTGAATGAATGTCCTTCCCACCAGGAGAGCAGTAGGGTTTTATTGGCTTCCCCGGATAAAGCGAAGGGGAGTGGGGAGCAGAAAGAGCAAAAGCAAGCCGTCGGCTGGGCGAACGGGGCTGGCGCGTTGCAATTGCAGAGCGTGCGAGGGTGCCGGCCCCGCTGGGCCCTGCTGCCCAGAAGGTCAGGGTCGCGAGCGGGGTCTCCAGGCGTCCGCAGTCCTACGGAAGCCACCGGGAGCGGCGGCGGGAGGGGGTGCATTGTTTTGTGGGAAGCAGGAAAACGGAAGGGAAGTGTATTGCCCGCGTTTCCTCCGTCCGGGGTTGGGAAGTGGGTCCTTTGCTCTCACTCGTCTCTGCCTTTCTCTGTTGCGTGTAGCCTGGAGGGGCTCGGCTCCTGTGAGCTTCTATAGAAAGTGGAGTCCAGGCTCTGGAAAGCTCCGCGATCCCGGGGTAGTGAGGCCTCGTAAGCATTAGAGGGCAATCTGCGGACGGCTCCACCAGCGGGGCCTTCGATAGCTCAGTTGGTAGAGCGGAGGACTGTAGTGGATGAGCCG